GGCGTATACGTCACCAAAAGCATGCTGTCTTAAAATATATGTAAATACTAAAGTGGCCATATTATTATTGTTACATAACTTAGGCTTAATTAAATGCAAATTGTTATTGGCAAATGCGAAACGAAATCTTAAATTAATGCAGCACGGTAGTCACGTATCTAGTTATGCATGTATAAATGGTATACATTTGCTTTGGTTGGTAATTTATTCACCTGCCATGCTTTTAAGGCCTGTTCTCGGGCACAAAAAGGGAAAATAAAAGACCTCAGTCGGCCAGTAATTCTATGCTAATGCTAGTTAAAATTATTAATATATTATTTATGACCAAAAGCAATACATGTGAACTCGATAAAATATGCAAATTTTGTCTGCCAAAAACAATAAATAGAAATAAAACTACAAAAATCAAAATAAAAACTAAAATGTTAAAAAAATCTGAAATCAGTCACCACAATATTTACATATGTGTATTTGTCTGTATGTCTTTGATGTTATTTGTGTATATGTAGGTCACAAAAAATTTACCACAAACCTGTTTGCGGCTTCGAAGTAAACAAATACATCTTTCAATCGCTTTATAAAGTGATTTTTAATTTTTGTTTTGCCGCTTTAGAACTGCGGATGTGCTACTCATTAGGATAAACAATATTTTTTACACATATTATAGATTTATAGCTTTTATAGTTAATCGAATTGTACAAAAGATATAAAAATGCATTAGAATACTGGTCTCACCCCACATATTATTTGAAATTAACTAATTTTATTAAAATCAAATTTTAATTCCTTAAAGTCGGATAGGCATTAAAGAAAGTCACATTTTGACTTTTCTACTCAAAACAAACAGGATAATTTCTTGTATTTTATATACTGTTATTTTGACAAATTTTCAAGTTTTGTCTGTTGCGTTTGCTACTAGAGAAGTGACCTTTCAAGCGTGTAGAGTGAGAAGTAGTGACATGCTTCGCAACTATAGAGTACGATCAATCGCAAGCTCGGAGCGCAGGTATTTCCGATTTCCGAAATTTATCGCGAACGGACGCTGTCTTGACTGCAGGGCCTAATGCACAATTTTAAATCAAGAAAACTGATTAAATAGTTCGAAAGTGAAAAAAATATTTGTTTGTAAAATTTATACCACTTGTTTATAAATAAGTCGAATAAGTTCAACCTTTAATAAGTAATTAAAAAGCGGAGAAAAAATCTTAAACATTAGGCCGACTAGTTTTTTGTATAATGAAATACCTTTCTTGGTAAATGCAAGAGTTTAAAAGTACTTTTTTCGAACGTTGAAATTTTTAAAATTCATAACTCCAAACGTTTTGTATTCAAAAAAAAAAAAAAAAAAAAAAAAAAAAAAAAAAAAAAAAAATATATATATATATATATGCCAAAAATGTTGCCTCAATAAATAAATATCAGAATAACAAAAAAAAAATATTTTTTAGGGAAAAAAGTTTTTGTGTCAAGTTTGATTGAGAAGACCCACACAACTGTGACCAAAAAATGGTAAAACTTTTTAATTTTAATTTCTCACCAAATCCCATTCTTCGAAATATTTTTTTCTGCATTGGTATGACCATCAGAGACATTTGTGACAAATGTCACATCAAAATAATTATTGTTGTTTAGTATGCGGTTGTCTTTCTGAGGTATATAAGGTACATTTGGCGACTTTTATAATGAAGGAAGTTATTCAACAAAAAATTTTGTGTGCGATATCAAATTTGTGGCGCCGAAACGTTTAGAATGTTTGAAAGGAATTCGATCGTTATTGTATGTCGCGAGCAAGTGTTTTTGATTGATACAAGTTATTCAAAGAGGGTCGAGAACGCGTTGGCGACGAACCACGTCCAGGGCAGATCAACATTAACTGATGATGAACACGTCAATAAAATAAAGGAATTAGTACTTAAGAATCGAGGATTAACAGTCAGAGATCTTACAGTGAAAACCATTTTGAAAGAAGATTAGGGCCTAAGTAAAGTCAAAATGACTCACATTTTTCGAAAAATAGCGTCGCGTTAACATTTGTTAAATAATACCTTTCTCTACCAGGATGCCATGAAACGTCTTTATTTATTACTGGGGTTGAGTCATGGATCCATGCCTACGACCGAAGCAGACGTTCAAACGGCCGAATATCGAGACAAAGGTGAGCCGAAGTCGCAAAAACCACGTTAGAGCAGTTCAAAGATTTAGATTATGTTGACAATTTTCTTCGATTATCTAGATGTGGGGCACTTTGAATTTCTTTTGACTAAACTGTCAACAAGGAAGGAAGGACGCGACGCTATTCATAAAAAGAAGCCTGAATTATGAGCAGAAAACTCTTGATTTTTGCACTGCGATAATGATTTAGCTCTGTGTGACTTATGGCTGCTCAGCAAATTCAAACGGCCGCTCCGTGGAAACCATTTTGAGTCCGTTAAAGATATTGAATGTTAAGCACTACGCGCATTGGAGGATTGTAAAAAACGTTGACACAATTGTATTGGGGCCCAGGGGGACGGAGGGGAGGACGAGAAAGATTTTGAAGAGAATATTAAACATTTTGAAATTATGAAAAAAGTCTTACTGTTTTTGCTCATAGTATTATATGCCCAATATTTTACATGAAATGATATGCAAATTTGGATGGAATGAAAAATATATACTTTATTGGATCTCTGATGTTTCCTCTTGATTATTACCAACATTAAAAACAAACGTTTACAATTGTCGAAATTTAAACTTTAAATTAACTTTTAAATTTAAACTAAGAAACTTTTTTTTTTTTTTTTTTGAGACATTTTATGAAAACTTAAATTACAAACACTATGTACTTTATATTGCATTTTTTTGTACCAATATGTTTTTTTACAGCGTAAACTCACATTGCCTTAATAATAACACATATTATTAAGTAAGTACACTGAGATCAAAAGTAATATGCAGCACAAAATATTGATATCATAACTAGTAGACCGGCAACTGTACATTAGTTGCCTTAACTATATAGTAGCAGCGCCTGTAAGCAATTAGATGACTAGTTAATGCATTTATACTTGTTGTCAGAATGAAACTGGCTTGAGAAAGATTATATCTCCATTTATATTTTGAAATCTTTTATGGAAATATGTAAAAAAAATTATGTATGTCTTTTTATGATTTAGATATTATTTCCACCTCTCACAAAGTGAAATCCACAACAATATCTTTCCTATCCTACTAAAGAGCTTCTGATATTACTTTAAAAACTGCTATAGCAGCTTATACATATACATATAAACAATGTGACTTGGACAGTTCTGAATACTTCTTCAAGGGTATTCAGAGGAGTCTGGAAACAATATAATGACATATGATAAGCTTCTGGCATTTAGTATTTATAAATGCTGTACGAGTGTATGAAACTGATTTGAAGATGTAATTGACCGAATGATTAAAAAATTATCTGGTAAGCCCTGTTGCGACTGAATCATAATCATATTTTTTTTTTTTTTTTGCGGTTGAGGGGTGAAATATGCCATCCTCATCATCAGTGCCGCCGTCACATCAACAGTATGTGCCAATTGCAGGCCATTAAAAATACTCCCTTTAAGCAACCGTCGCCCACCCTGGGACCACATTTGCATTACTTGATTTACTTGATGGAATTGAATCATATTTAGACCCCCCAATTACAAAATCGAATAGTTATTTGAAATTACTCAAAAATATATTAAATATTTTTTTTTATGTATTTCACTTAATGCAATCTATTATTGCAGCTTTATTTACATTTTAGTGCATACATTTTGCACATAAATAATATTTCTAATTAACTCTGATTTGGACTTTTTTACATATTTTTTTCTCGCCAAAAATTGGTTTAAAAAAATCACGAAACACAAAATTTACTTCTCCCCTTAAATGTCAGCAGGCTTATCAGCTACCTATATAGTCGCATATATTCTTAAAACACTTTGCGGGCTGTCGCAATGACCGGAATAAAGTCTAATTTGTATGTATGCGCTGAGTAATTTAAATGTTGCTTAATCTCGCAAAAAGAACCAAAACGACTACACAACCACTTTTAGCCGAAAAGGAATTCTCTTAGTGCAGCACGTTTTGGCCACTCACTTTTGGCGTTTAGAAAGAAACAAAAAAATAATGAAAAATGACAAATTTCGGGCAATTAAAAGTAGTGTGCAGATTGTTGCCAACTGGATTTGCAACTTTGTTTTTGTTGTTTTTTATTATTATTTTTTTTTGTTTTTATAAGCAGTGCTATTTAAAAAATTGATTATCCTTGATTGCATCTTCTGTTGAGATATTGTTGTCTCTCCTTTATAATATTTAAATATTTTTTTCTGATTTTTTTATAATTTTTGTATATTTTTAATTTTTTTTTTGATAAATTGCTTATTTGAAAATTAACTCAATTCGCTAGTTTGTTAAATTCGTATAAAATGTGTATCTAAATGTCGATTTCTGCTTGACAGAAACAAGTTCGTTGCTTAAGTCTTTCGTAAACATTCTTAACATTGGCTGTAAACTCCGGTGGCGGTCAGATTACTTTGTTTATGTGTGTATTTTTTTTGGAATATTGGCAAGTCAGCAGCAAATATCACTAATTAATATATAGATATATATATGTGTGTACACATACATACTTATACAAAGCAAAAACCAAAAATATATAAACAAAAACCTCAAATGATAGCGCATGCTGCCACACGTTAGCTGCCAACGCCACATGTACAGCTTAGTTAAACCGCTCATTTTTCAAAATTATTGGCTTTTGTCTATTTTTTGAACTGTTTTCAGCCAAAACCGCTTTTTCACTACAATTTTTTTCTAACATATTTCATCGTTTTTCATTAACGACTTTATCTTTTTTTAACGGCAACACCACTTACAGTACATATATTTGCTTTAGAACGTGTTGCTTCCACTCCATAAACAACGGCGTTGAAGAAGAAGCGCAAAAAAAAACGCCAAAAAATAATAATAATTTTACAGAAAACGTCACTCACCTTGTTCGCAAATTTCCGTTGCGTGTGTTGTTCAATGTTTTTGCGGCCAATTTGAAGCTGCTGCTGCCGCCACTGCCGCCGACACCACCACCTGCACCACCGCCGCCGCCCAGTCCGAGGCCACCATTACTACCGCTATTTAGCTGGCTGGCGCTCGTGCGCGGCAAGCGTGGATTACCGGCGCCGGTACGCACGGACGCACCAACACCACCACCACCACCACCACCACCGATGCCAGCGCCAGCACCGCTATTGCCATTACTGCCGGCTGCAGCAACGCTACAACTATTGCCGCTTAACACCGCTAAGGTGCAGACGAGCAACAGCAGCGCGATGGTGAGCGAAGACCGTTTGTTGTTGCGACAACAAATGGCAAGCCCACCGTCGCGTTTATTGTTGGTGTCAGCGTTGATGCGCGGCGTTTTGCTATTATTGCTTTGCATCTTTGTAATTTTTGTTGCTGTTGTTGTGGTTTGTGTTGTTCTTGCTTTCGTTGGTAAGAACCAGTTCTTGGCTGCGTGCTGCTGTTGCTTTGCAGCTGGCAGCAGTTGTTGTGCTTGTCGTCGTTGTGGCTGTTGTGGTGTTGGCTTATAACTGGCGTGCTGCTGCTGCTGTGCTTGTAGTTGTTGCTGTTGCTTTTGCTGCTGCTTGGCCTTTAAGGCCGGCATATTGCTGTGTAAGTTCGATTATTCGAATGTTGCTCTTCAATTTTTTGTTTCACGCACGTTTCCTTTCTTATTTTTGTGATTGTTTTTTTGCACTTTTTTCTTCTTATTCGTCACTTCTTGTTTTAACACGCCGCGTTTACACGTTTTCTTTTCACAATCATTCAAAATTAATCTGTGCGCGTACACTTATTGTTGTAATTGTAATTTGTATTTGCTTGATTTTTTTTTTTTTTAATTAGTAAAATTTGCAATACATATATTTAACAAACGCACTGAAGTGACTGTAAGTAAAAAATAAACATATAAAAATAAAAATAGAAAAAATGAATGGTCTAATGACTCGGCTTTATTTCTTTCATCTTCCATTCTTCGGTGGACTTGTGAACTTCTACCTATTTTTATGGTATTTTTTAATTTTATTTTGATAATAGCAAGGAGCAAATTCTATTTGTGATAATCAAAAATTATTATATGTTCAGAATTAGTTGGTTTGCTTTGCTATTTCTCTTTGATGATAGAGCTTTATTCAAGTCCGTGATTTGCATTTTTCAGAAAATACCGAAAAAATAGTTTCTGCAAAATTGAAATTATAGCAAATGAGCGCGATAATTAAATGAGGTATATATTCTTAATGCCCGAAAGTATTCAGTATCAAAATTCCTAACCAGAAGTAAAAATAAAAGAGTCAAAAGCGCTCTGTTTCTCCCAGCTGATTTTTCATGATCGATTTTTAGTTATGATAGACAGGACAAGTGAACTGAAACTGACTAAATTTTTGATACATAACCTTGGCATATTTCCATAACAATAACAACACCAAAGATTTGTATATTTAAATTTCATCGTCTCTTTTGACTAAATATCCGCTATTAACCCATTTCTCTTATTAATGTTAAGAAATTTAAAAAATGTGAAGATTATTACTCAAATGTGAAAACATTCCTTTAAACTAGCTACTGCTTCTAAACTTTAATATCAAAATCACCGAACGAGTTTTAGTATACAATTTAAACTTATTTATCCGCCAAGTGAGATTAATCTTATACAACTTAGATCCCTCATAGATATGTAATCAATTGGACCAGACGGCTTTAACATATTGTTGCTAAGGTATCTAGGATCGGAGAGATCAGATATTTAATCCGAATCTTCAAACCTACTTTCATATAGCCGATGTGTGGAAAGTCGAAAAACTGGGCAATGAAGGAAACTGGCCAACCATCCGGAGTAATATCGCCCGATAACTCTCCATATTCCAGTAGTGAAGGCACTTGAGACTTTGCTAACCCTGACATTAACTCACTATCTGCCTCTAGCAGAACATCAACATTCTGGAAAGTGCATAATACCATCACAGCGCTAGCGTTATAAACGCCTAGATAGTTCGTGGCCTAAATAACAAATAACCCTTAGAGGGGACGATCTTAGTAGAACATTACTAGAAGATACTAAAAAATCTATGCTCTCCCCATTGCTGAAAAAGCGGATCATGAACCGCCTAAACGGTTGGCAATTATTCGTACTACGTCTCTAGGTCACAGTTCTGATTGTATGATTTTGACGTGAGATAGTGTGATTAATGGCATGTGTTTGTAAGTAAACAGTTATCTCACCGCTCTTTCTTGGTTCTTTTCTGCAAGAAGCTATACACTCTACCTCACTAAATTCATAACGACCATATTCACGAACTGGTTTAAAAAAGTACAGTATAGAGCTAAAATTCCTACCGTTCACAAACCCAGTATTGAGTAGTCGAAAAAGTCTTTTCGTATTTTAGATGTCGTTGCAGTCGTATATCTTCAGTGCTACCAATAAGATTGTGTCTTGCCATAAAATTAAATTCCAGGAAGTTAAAAAAAAAAAAAGTTACCAAATGTTCAAAAATGAGTGAAAAAAATGAAGAAAAAGCTAAGAATGCCACGCAAGTCACCAATGAAATTTGTGAAGTTTACGGAGACGATGCTGTATTAGCGCATGTAGCACAACAAGGTTTCGCTCGCCTCCATTCTGGAAATTTCGATGAGAAAGAAGCCTCTTGCTCTGGTCGACCTATCGTTGAAAAAGTCGATGTAATTACTGAAAGATTGAGCAGGACCGTCACATGCTTAAATCATTTAAAAAATGTTGGCTATAAAAAGAAGCTCGAGATTTGGGCAGCACGTATGTTGTTTGTGATAAATTTAATGGACTAAATTAGCATCTGCGATTCTTTGCTGAAACGAAATGAAATCGAACCATTTCTGAAGCGAATGGTAACAGGAGACGAAAAATGGAATGGATGTGGAATGGAATGGAATGGAAAAAAGTGGATCAAATACGACAGTATTGTGCGAAAAAGATCATGGTCCAAGCCTGGTGAAGCCCAACAAATGGTCGCAGGATCAGGATTAATGCCTCGAAAGGTTATGCTGAGTGTTTGGTTGGAATGGAAAGGAATCATCCACACTATCCACTGGAGAAGCTCTCTCCAGCTCGGTGGAATGATTGATTCTACATTTTACTCTCAACAACTCTTTGAGAGTGAAGCAAGCTACCGAAAAAAAAGTCCAGAACTGATCAACAGAAAGGGCTTCGTCTTCCATATGGATAACGCTAGACCACACACAACTTTGATGACTCGACAAAAACTGGGAGAGGTTGACAGCGAAGTTTTGCTGCATCCACCATATAGCCCTGATCGTGACCCATCGGACTACTCATTGTTTCGTTCAATGCAGAACTCTTTTAATGAGTTAAATAAAGAATAAAGTTGGATTCAAGAAAAGTCCGTGAAAATTACTTGCCACAGTTTTTTACGAAAAGACTTTTGCGACTATCCAATATTTTAGGTGCCACACTTGACAGCCTGTGGTTTTTGTTTTTGGAAAATAATTGGTTTTGCATCTAGTTTCTGCCTGTTGTTGTTATTATTATTGTGGTAATTAAGCACATTCATTATTTTTATTTACTTAATTTCTGCACAATCAATTGATTTTTTGGTGAAACTAGTTGTCTACACCACCATACATATCGCTTATAGACAACTACATAGATTAAATGACGCATAAACAATCATATTATTGGCAGATGTGTGTGTTAATTATGTACTATTGTGCATAGTTATGATAAACCCGTGCCGCTTCCCCCAATAATTTGAAATGTGTGAAACTTATTTATGTAAAGCAAAAGTATATTTAAACAGAACTTTAAGCAGACTTAGCTTTGGATGCTGTTGTTGCTACAGATTACAACGTTTCACACACATTTCATTACGTATAAACATATATCTTGATATTCCTTTCGTACGGCATGCATAATTAAATGCACTTTTGATGTCGCGAAAATTTTGAAATTTTTCAAGCCTTACTCACCAGACACTACGATTTTCTAAGCATTCTACATACAAACACACACACGCAGATGTATGAGATGCATGAGTATTAGAATGCCGTTTGTATAGTATTTAAGACATTTTTTTCTACTTCTTCGTGATCAGCGCTAACGCGCTCATTGAAATATTTCGGTAATAACTTAAAAGGCTGTCGTACAAATCTCATTTTGAGAAGTTGTTCGGCTGGAAATTGTGGTTTTTATGCGGTGCGTCGCTGCTGTCACTTCAATATTGCAGCACTGGCATGCTGTGTTTGTTAGTGTTGTTGCTGTTGCTATGAGTTTTATTGTTGTTTGTTTTTATTAGTGCCCAGTGTTTCGTTTGCCATTTGTGCAATGCGATATTCAAACATATCTATGATTTCAATTTTTGTTTTATTTTTGATTTTTTAATTTTTACTCTGCTGTTTGTTGTTTTTCTAATTTTTTTTCAACAATTCTGCATTCGTATTGAGTAAATGAATTTGCAAAGACTTAATAAAGTACAAATTAGCTGCTATAATAGCTGAAAGCCATAAACATTAGTAAAATGYCATTAAAGTGTCATGTGCGTCAAGTGTTAGTCTCTTTATTGTCTGGCACGCGGATGAGGAGAAAAAACAGAAACAAACAAAAAACTTTTATGCATAGAATTATGAATCTGTTTTTTTTTTTTTTTTATTGAACTGTTAATGTTGTTCTCTTGCAATGCGCTCTTTGACATGCCAATTGCGGTTAGCTTCATAATTTTATTTCAAGTGCAGTGAGCTGATATTGAGTAGATTGGAGCAGATGATTTCACGTTTTGGGCTGGTCGATTACCGTTACACTTGCTCCTGTGGGAATTTCTAAAGTCTAAAGTCTATGCGGACAATCCCGCTTCGATTCAGGACTTGGAGCAAAACATCAAATGTTCTAATAAATCATCAAAAATTGGGTCAATGGACGGACCATTTGCGACGTAGCCGTGACCAACATCTGCAAGAGATAACCTTCAAAAAATAAATGCCAATGTTACTTGATTTTTTTTTTTTTTTAAAGAATTTGGAACCTCATTTTGGATCACCATATACATTCCCTCCGTTCGTCTGTCTACCTGTATATTGACAAACCTAGACCCTCAGTTTGTAGGTTATCCATCTGAAATTTGCACAAGTTCTTTTCGTCGCCAGAAGATGCTCATTTTCGGAACATCCGATATCGACACCACTATAGCATTTACATAACTGGCCTACAAACTGAATGATCGTAATTTTTTCATTTAACAAGATATCTTCAAGAAATTTGGCATGCATAATTGCCTAAAGCATCGGTGTAATTTCCGAGGAAATTGCTCAGATCGAATGTCTACAGCATATAGCTAGCATGCAAGCTGAACGATCGCAATCAAGTAATGGTAACGAACCCTTTTGTTTTTGTATTTGTGAGCACTGTTACATCTTCGTTGCAACCGGAGTTACCGACGAAATGTGAGTAGGGCTACCCTACAAAATGGAATTCTCTCTCCTCTTCTATGTGTCCTCGTCGTTAACGACCAGCTTCAAAAACTTGAATTTCTTGAACTTAAATTTACTACGAGTTGACGCAGGTGTATCTTAGCGTCGTAATAACTTGGGCAGTCATAAATGGTCACGCCATCAACTCAAATAAAATCGAGATGGTTTTATTTACTAGAAGATAGAAGATCCCGTTGTCAGCGCTGACGCATTTGGTATACATGCAACCGGCGGATACTTGTACTAGACGATCGATTGGCTTGCACTAGTCTAGAGGAGTCATTAGAAAAAGGTAGGGTTTCTCTGCGAAAGTGGTCCTCTATGACACTATAGTCAAGCCCATTATATTCGGTGTAGTCTGTATATAGTGTAGAGAAGCAGCCGTTGGCAGAGAGAAGCAGTGGGCTTCTTTACAGCACGGTCAAAGCTTGAGAGAA